AACTAAAATAATTAAATATGAGTGTCAGAAGCTATTTTCCACTCTGGGCATAGTTCACCAAAAAATTATGACCTACACTCCTCAACAAAATGGGGTAGTGGAATGCAAGCACAAACATCTCTTGGACACTTCCAAAGCTTTAAGAATTCATGCCAATCTCCTAGTCATTTTTTGGGGGGATTACATCCGTGCAGCCACATGTTTTATTAACAAGTTGCCCATTGCCAAGTAATCCTGGAAACAACTTTTGAGTCTCTTTTTTGCATTTCAACTTCCTACAAACATTTAAGACCCATTGGATGATTGTGTTATGCTAAGAAAATCCAAACTTCTAATGACAAATTTGAACATAGAGGCAGAAAATGCATTCTACTAGGTTATCATATTACATAGAAAGGTTATAAACTGTTTGATCTTCACACCAAGGCTAGTTTTCTAAGTAGAGATGCGATTTTTCATGAGCATATCTTTCCTTACAGATCCCTTCCTTCAAATCCAGAGGTGACTCCTGAAAATTTTTACCCTAGTCCTTTTAATGTCACAGATGATGATGCACCTCCTATCTTTCCTTCAGAATTTGATCCAGAAATCATCTCTGCCTCTGAAACTCATCATAGTGATAACATTGTCACTCCTCCAGACTCTTCCCTTTCAAACACTCCAATAATCCCTCAAAAACTACTCCATTACCAGTTCCAAAACCAAAAAAGAATTCCAAACCTCCTGCCAAGTTGTCTGATTATGTTTGCACCACCATCAAGTCCAAAGTTCATTCTCACTGCTCCATAGCTCATCCCCTTTCCTTTGCTAAAATTTCTTCTCCTTCAGCTCCTGGTTTCACCAATTTACTGTCCATACACCTACAACTTATGCTCAAGCTAAATAGGACTCAAGGTGGGTGTCTGTCATGGCTAAAGAGCTTGATGCACTTGAAATTAATTGTACATGGATATTAACTTTTCTTCCCAAGGGCCATAAGGCTATTGGTTTTAAATGTGTATACATAGTTAAATACAATCATAATGGTTCTTTTGAAAGGTTCAAAGCTAGGTTGGTGATCAAGGGCTATAATAAAAAACTTGGCAAGGACTACAAACATGCCTTTTCACCCGTTATTAAGAAACCCACTGTGAGAGTCATTCTTGCCTTAGCTGCTTCTTTTCAATGGCCATTATATCAACTGGATGTGAACAATGCATTTTTGCATGGTTATCTTGATGAAGATATCTACATGCTACATATAGAGGGTTATAACAAGACTTCCCATGGCCATGTCTGCAAACTTCAGAAGTCATTGTATGGACTTAAGAAGGCCTCACGTTAGTGGAACTTGGACTATTCCATGTTTATCAAACAAACTTCTTTCCATTTTACAGTTATTCTATTGTATGTAGATGACATGTTACTCATAGGCACATCTCCCTCTGAGATCTCAGCAACCAAATTTGCACTACATAACAAGTTCACCATTAAAGATTTAGGGGTTGCTAAGTATTTTTTGGGAATGGAAATCACTCAAACTAATGAGGGCATTCATTTACATCAACACAAATACATCTTGGATATCTTTTCTGATGCTGGTTTAACAGGTGTTAAACCCACTCCATTTCCATTACAACAAGATCTTAAGCTTTCCCTACAATCTAGAGAGATACTTAATGATCCTGAACCCTAGAGACGACTCATTGGACACCTTCTATACCTCGGTCTTACACGGTCAGTCATTTCATATGCAGTTCAACACCTTAGCCAGTTTCTCTTTACTCCAACCACGCACCATATGCAAGCAGCCAATCATGTCCTCTATTATCTTAAAGGCACCATAAATCATGGCATGTTCTATCCAGTTCAACAAAAGATACCATTAACAGGTTTTTTTGATGTTGTTTGGGGCTCATGCCTTATGACACGTAAATCACTCACTAGTTATTGTATTTTTCTTGGCCATGCCTTGGTCTCTTAGAAGACTAAGAAACAGGTGACTGTTTCCCGATCCTCTACTGAGGCAGAATATCAAAGTATGGCTGCTATTACTTGTGAACTCTTATGGATGAGTTATTTACTCAATGATCTTCATATTGCAGTCGTTTTACCAATCACCATGTTTTGTGACAACAAAGCTGCTCAACAAATCACAGCCAATCCATGCTATCATGAACGGATAAAACATTTTGACATTGACTGTCATATTACATGGGACAAGGTTCAAGAAGGTCTTCTACAAACTGCTTATGTACCTTCACAGCATCAACTTGCAGACATTATGACCAAGCCTTTGGGTGCTTCACAACATGCTGCTTTATCCTTCTAGTTTGGCCTTCGATCAGCTCCAACGTGAGGGGGATGTAGAGATATCTAATGAATTTCCAATATTCTTTGGATAAGTCCTTAGCATCTGTTCTAGAACTGTTAGATTTTAGTTAGTTGGTTGCGTATTTTACGGCTTTATCTCTCTTTTTTGTTCCTCTTCTGTTTCATTTAAATGAGGGGTTATTCTCGCTTTTGGATGTAACAAAAATTCATTAATAAACCAATTTTGTTGAGTTCTTCATCTTCTTCTGATCTCCACACTACATATATATCTTTTTCCCTTGCACTCCCTGTTATGGATTATATAGTAGGATATTAGATTATATATTTATTAGTTTATTATTATTATTATTATTATTATTATTATTATTATTATTATTATTATTATTATTATTATTATTATTATTATATTGTAATCTAAGTTTTATTAGGTGAGCGAAATTATAAGCTCCTTCGAGGTTTCTTTACGGTTCTTTCCCTCGTCGCTTTTATTGAACCGTCAAGTTAGGTTTAGGGTTATCTAAGGTTCTTTGTCTTCTATATATTGAGATGTAATTCCTTTAGAATAATCAATCAATAAACAACTCAAACCCTAATTCCCTTCCTCCCTCGGTTCGCTGATTCTCTCCTTCGCCTCAATTCTTCTTCTTCTTCCTCGTCCCATATTCTCAAGAGCTCGAAGACGCTCTGAGTCTTCCCTATCCGATACGTAGTCCGTATCACTCCCCTACCTCGTATAGGTTCATTCTTTTTCCTACAATCGTACTCCCCTCTATTCTTAAATAACCCTCTATTATGACCTTCTAAATATATTAAAAATTAAATTAATGTTGTCATAAACCAACATAGTTGGTGTGGTGTTTCAGCATCTCATCCATTAAGCATGAGGTTAGGGGTTTGATCCCTACTCAAGTTAATGGAGCAAACTATTTGGCCAGTCCCCTACCACTTATTGTGTTGATTGTAAGAATGAGGGATTGGTCCTCTAACTAGAGGGATTAGTCCACAATCAACTCAAATATAATGTACTTAAAAAGTCACAATTACTTAAGTATATGATCGCATGAATTATAAGTGTAAGGAAAGAAAAATGAAAAGTCAATCCAAATATAGAGTATTTAAAATGAATTACTCCCTCCGTCCTAAAACCATCTTCCTGTTTGTGTTTACGAGGTTTTACCGACTTTATTTTCAATTCAATTTATTTGATTGTGGTGTAAAATTAAAAAATAAAATTTACATATTTAAACACTACATTAAAAGTTCTAAATAATGAGAGGTGCCAAGACTATACTATTTTATCAAATAAGTAGCCAAAATAGGTAAAGAAAGGGATTTAAATTTAATCGTATAAATAGTAACTGGGAAGATAGTTGGGAGAAAGACCAAACTAGGACTAAAACATTGAGAATATACCAAAATAGGACTTCCATGTTTTTATTCCCGAAATAGGACTTACATTACCAAATATGGTCATATACATTACCAAAAATGTATAGTAATTTGCACATGTACACTGCCACATTACCACAATGCAAAGTCACATTACCACAGTGCAAAGTCCTATTCCGGGGAAAAAACTAGAAAGTCCTATTTTGATACTTTTCTCTATGTTTTAGTCCTATTTAGGATGATTTCTAAAGATAGTTTTAGGAGGGATTATAAAAGAAAACTAGAGAAATTTTTTTCTTAATCTTTTCACTTCCAAATTCCATAGCATATATAGATTTATTGTTGAGTGCAAACATAGAGTTAATATCGAATATCAAAATATGAAATCATTTGGTTTCATAGCTAGCGATGCATAAACAATTGTTTTGAAATTAAAAGCCACTAGGAAATTAGTGCCCAACCATAGTAGCATCGACCAGATACGGAATAATTTGGCCTTGTTTGGACACTAGCAGTTGGCAGTTCGCTGTTGGTTGTTTATATTAGCAGGTTTGAATGGCTGATTGAGTTAGCTGTTTTGACCGGCTGTTTCTGTTAGCAGTTAAATTTTAAGTGTTTGGCAACTTTAGCTGTTTGTAAATAAAATTACATAAAAGGACATCCCTCCATTTATGGTATATTTTATTTTACAATTTTTTTAAATATCATATCATAAATATATTTTTTTAAATTAAAAAATTAAATAAATAAATATACATACATACATATATATGTGTGTGTGTGTGTGTGTGTGTGTGTGTGTGTGTGTGTATATATATAGACATGATATTTATTTTTCATTTTTTTACATGTAAAAATTAAATCTTTACTATATGAAGTATTAAATTTTAATTTCATTTAATTCATAATAAATTATAAATATAAATTTTTTTTAATTTCATTTTATTTTTTCGTATTTAATTTTTTTAACTTTTATTTTTATTTTTTACATATATTATAAAATATCTTTCAACAAAAATGATTTTAAAAAAATTATTTTTCCTAACCGCCAAGTCCAAATGATACTCACCTTGGCATTTCAGATTTTGGCTTTTCAGATCAAAATGCCAAGTGAAAAAGCCATTAGCCAAATAATGGTTTTGGCGGTTCGCTTGATTAAAAAAGCCAAAGTCAGTCAAAGATGCCAAAAGCCATCCCAAATGCTGTTTTCCAAACATGGCCTTTTATCTATTATACTGTACGCCCACCGGCGTAATTGAAGTATAAAGAATTAAAGATAAGACATTATTGTGTGGACTAATACTCCGTAGAATAATAAAGTACAGACAATTGACCGAAAGATCCACCAAATGTACGGGGCTTGCTGCCCAATCTCCCGGCGGGCTGGATCAAACTCCGAGGTCAGGTCACTTGAGTTGAGTGTGTTCAAGATTTATACTGGTAGTATACTAGTATAGCTCAGATTCTTTCTCTGAACATTTTCAGGCCCGTCATCAACTATCTGCATCACAGCCCGGCTTCCGCCCTACAGGGCGGCGCGTGAGCAATCTTTGCTGCAATTCATGTATATGTTGTGAGAGAAATTCAGGCATTGATGGGGCAGAAACTGAGCTGCAGAGAAACCCACCAACATGGGTTCTTCAGTGCAGTCCAGAATGGAGACCTTGAAACAGTTGAATCTATGGTTGTTGAGGACCCAAGAGTTCTGAGCTTCAGCGCTGTTCATGGAAAGCTCTCCGCATTGCATGTGGCTGCTGCCAATGGGCAGATCGAGGTCAATTCTGCTGGATCTTTCTTGATTCTTTGTGTTTCTTCTAGTACAAGTGTGTTTTCTTGTTTCTTGGTTGAGCCAATCTTGTCTTTTTTTGGCGGGGAATAGGTTCTGGATATGCTTTTAGATAAGGGTTTGAATCCAGACATCTTGAATCGCCACAAACAGGTGACTGTAGCTTGATCATGTTCGTCTGTGTTTTTTTACCCTACTTGCTCAAAACGCCAATTTAACTTCTTCTCTGGAGATGCTAAATTTTGGATTTAGCCTATACAGTATATATGTAGGTGCATTGGGTATTTGAAATTTGATTTTTGTTTTCCAGTCCCCATTGATGCTAGCTGCTATTCATGGAAAAGTTTCATGTGTGGAAAGGCTAATCCGTGCTGGAGCAAATGTATGATCTTTGATTCTTTTTGTTTCTGCATCCGGTTCTTTAGATGCTGTTTTATACTCCCTTCACCCAAAAAAAAGTTCTAGTTTCGATGTATGGTGTTTGATTGAAACTATTTTCAATTGAATGTATCTGCGAATTAGTGTAGAATTCAAATAATAAAATTTAAAAAAAATTGCCCAATACAAAACAAGTGGTGACTTGACCATTTTATTTTATATCAAATGATCAATGAAAATATTTAAGGAAGGAGAATATACTATTTGGCCTTGTGAATAGTAATGTAGATCTTTATTCTTAGATTCAGAGAGTATATTTATTTTGTTGCTTGAAATGTATTCGTATATTGGGTGTTCATTCATTCCATTTATTCAGATTTTAATTTTTGATTCACTACATGGGAGAACTTGTTTGCACTATGCTGCGTACTATGGCCACTCAGATTGTCTGCAATCTATCCTCTCTGCCGCCCAATATACACATGTTGCACAATCCTGGTAACTTACATATATTGTTTTCCCTTATTTAGTGATTTATGTTGTCTACTTTGTTTCTCGTAGTATGCAATACTTAACCCCTTTTAATCCCCACCACGCTGTGCCTTTATATGCCTCCTACCTGGTGCCTCTAATGCTTTTAACAACATTGAGAACCATGGAGAATTTCCCATGAACTCATTCAGAATGATGGTGTTGAACTTTGTGATGTGTGGTGGTCAGGGGATTTGCAAGGTATGTAAACACAAGGGATGGGCGCGGTGCAACCCCTTTGCATTTAGCTGCACGACACAGGAGGCCAGAATGTGTTCATATTTTACTAAGCAATGAAGCTCTAGTGTGTGCTTCAACTGGCGGCTACGGGTATTACTTTCTCTCAATCGCGATAAGGTTTTCTTAAAAAAAATCTTAGTTTTCTATTACATATTGGTGAATATGACACAATAAGTTTTCAGATATCCGGGATGCACACCTCTTCATTTGGCAGCTAGGGCAGGTTCCTTAGATTGTGTCCGAGAATTACTTGCTTGGGGTGCAGATAGGCTTCAACGAGATGCCTCCGGGTTAGCTCTCTTCTAGGATGATCTCTCAACAATCTGCTCAGCATTGTTCTCTTTTCTTTTTTTTTTGTGGCATGACATATTACTTAAATAAGCTAAAAGTCTTGCAGGAAATTATATTTACATCTAGATCTCTATTATTGGTACAATGATGAGACTAGGGGTCAGCTTGGGTAATGCATAAAACACACTGAATTTAATGCTCTTAAAAGATCCACTTGGCTGGGCTGAACCAAATTTTCTTGAATTACAAAGAAGCATTGCCATCATCTGTAGGACTTCGACAGATCCTCTGATTCCTTTTTTCCATTTCAGGAACTCTTATTCAGATTCTATCCCAACTATGTTTCGGATGCGTGTGAATTTTTAATGTGGTTCTTAGAATTATTGAAACTGATTGTTTTCTGGATGCAATTTCTACAGGAGACTGCCTTATGTGATTGCACTTAAGCACAAACACGACACTTGTGCTGCTTTACTGAATCCTTCATCTCCCGAGCCATTGACTTGGCCTTCTCCCCTGAAGTTCATGACTGAGCTTGATGCTGAAGCAAAAGGCTTATTAGAAAAAGCCTTGATCAATGCTAACAAAGAAAGAGAGAAGAAACTTTTGAATGCGACGGGCTATGCTACTTCGCCCTTGCATTCTTATTCGGGCAATGAGGACTTTGAGGTAAAAGACTTAGAGCTTGTTCTCTTCGTCCGATCTGATCAGCTTCTATTAAGGTCTGATTTGATCTAGTGTTAAGGAACACTTGGACTGGTATGGATCACTGTTGAAATCTGTTTGATCTTTTCCACAGGCCAGTGATTTCGACCTATGCTGCATCTGCTTTGAGCAGGCCTGTACTATAGAGATGCAAAAATGTGGGCACCAGATGTGTGCGCCCTGCACTCTAGCCTTGTGTTGCCACAGCAAACCGAATCCCACTGGTAAGTGTGACAAAGTTCTCCCATGCCCCTTTTGTCGGAGCACCGTGACTCAACTAGTGGTTGCCAAGAACAAGACCGAAAACAAAGCAGCAGACGAATTGAGCCCATCCAAGTCAAGAATGTCATGGACACCTTCCAACTCAGCTGAAGATGGCAGCAGCAGCAATAATACCTTCAAGGTTTTGTCACCCTTAGCCTCATTCGCAAGGCTTGGTGGTCGCAGTTCGGGTAAGGTCTCTTCTGATTGCATTGAAGGCTTCAATAAGCAGCCATAACATCTGATCTGAATACTGCAAAGCTCCTCGTGCAAGAGTTCATACTTGTATTTGGTCCTAATGAGGAAATCCTGGAAGGCTGATTTCCTCGCGGTTATCTTCTTAAATTTATTTTAATTTTGATTTTCCTTCTATGGAGATATGTATATTTGAACTGCTTCTATGGAGGCTTCTGGCTTCCCTACTGGTCTACGTATTGAAATTTTTGGGAAAATGTTGGAAATTCTGTGAGATTAAATGGTTCAACTTTCACATTTGATAATGGGACCTTTTGCGTGTTCTTGCATTTCCCCAGAATTATGGTTTGGCTTTCTGGGGATTTAAGAAAAATGTGTTTGCAAACAATCTTCATGATTAATGACATTTCCCTAAAAACTGAATAACATGTCCCATATAACCAAAAGAGAAATAAACAAAGAGAAAGCAGCAGACCGATCTACATGGAGCGGTACGACTTCCTTGGGCCCCATGATGCTCCATATACCACGTCGACTTCAATGATAGTACAATTGAAAGTTTTGTTTGAAAATGATGTTTGTAAATAGCTTTTATGTTTTCTTATACTTTTTTTTTAATGATATTAGTTAACTATGAAAACGCTGAAGTTAATGTCAATAAAAACCTTAGTTTTAATGTTTTAAAGTTAATTCGCATTGCATCATTAAGAAATAAACTAAAATGCTAAAATATTCCAAATGGAGATGCCCTATAATAGTGAGCTCCGCCCATAAATAAATTCACAAAGATCTTTTGATCTTGGTTAATTTGACGGTCAAATGACCCGGGCACCTACAGTGCATTGTTGGTAAAATTAATAGCTATTAGTCTATTACCCCCTAACCTTCCCCAAAACCCTCCTGCCCCCTATATCCCACCCGGCCCTTTTGCGCTCCTCTAGATTGGCAACTTAAGTTAGACCTACAAATTTTAGTCTCATGTTTTTAGGCACAGGACCTTATTGATGGAATATCGTGGATCCGCATTTGGTTCCACATGGGAGTTTTTGGAGAGGCTGATTCCAATGTCAACGAACATGATTTGAATGCATCTTTGGTAGATCTAAGGTTCACATCACATTTGGTGTACCTTCTTACATCATAAGTATTTTTTCAATAAAAAAACTCTTCAAGGTAGATTGTGTGGACCTTAGGTCCATTTACCTTCATGTTAATATGTTCATGTTATACCAATCTTAGTCCATGAAATTAATGAGCGTTTGGTAGAATTAAATATGAGGCCTATGTGTAATTACTCAACTACTTGTTGCTACAAGTTATGACATCCTTTTCAATTAATTTTGATCCATCCAGGTAGAATAGAATCAGAAGAAGTGACCATATTTTAGGGCATGTCACTTTCTTATACTTATAAAAGTAACCTCGTCCCCTTCCAAACTTTTGAGAGTTTGAACTATGTTAAACAAAATGAGTGAAACAAAAAAGTACGAAGAGGCTAGGCTAGAGCGTAGCAAAAATAGTTCAACTCATTACGTATATTCGGGTAGCCATCTTCTATTGCATAAGTTCTAGGGCTACAAAAAACCTACACGTCTTGGGAACACAAAAAAAATTCGAATATATTGTTCGTATATTCATTTGGAGACTAAAATCCAAAAGAAAAAGAGGATGAAGTGGTAATTGGCATGATTAGACGATATATATATACATACACACACACATATGTGTGTGTGTGAGGTAAGAGAGAGAAATTCAAACCCATTTCCAGTGAATCTGTGAGGTAAGTTAAAGCTGACGTAGCATAGAGAGAAATTTTGAAGCCTCGGGGCTTCAAACATATTTTCACTGCTCTTAACATGAAGATAAATGCTATGATGGATCAAGGGTCCACACAATATAACCCTGATGAGTTTTTTTTGCAAAAAAAAATGTTTTTGATGTGAGAAAGCTCATAAAAGATGTTGTGAAATTTAGCTCTAGCAAAGAAACATTCTAACATGAATGGGGTCAGTGAGTGGCGAATGGGGTCCGAGAGTGGCGAATGGGGTCCCAAGAGTGGGTTGAGAAGAAAATTGCTAATCATTTTTTTACCAATACATTCAATAGATGGCGAGAACTTTGGGTTGAATACTGCTCCTACAACAAAAGGCAAAAATAAGCCATGAAAGTATATTTGGTACTGCAATTTTATTTTCGACTATGCAAATCTGGCATTCGCCTTACATATATTACATCTTGCCCAACGACAAACCCCAATTTGTCCTCATATTATTACGTACATCTGATTGTACTATTCTCCCTGTACAACAGGAGTCAATTTTGGAGTAAGGTGATCGATTGCCGGCACACAAGCGGCGACGATGTGACCCACGGGAACATCAGCAATGGTAGTTGGCCTCCTGTGCAGACTGCAGCGGCGATGCTCCCTGCGTTGAAGGTGGAGACAAAACAACAATGAAGAAGGAGACAAAGGTACTTCGCAGTCGGCCGTCTTTGAAACCCTAGCTGATCTACACTGGTACAGGGTGGTGGGTTTAGATTGAACTAAATTATGGTGTACTAGTACCCATTTCCCTATGTTGTACTCATTTGTTTTCTGAGTAGTATTACATTGATTTTGGTACTAAATACTCCGTATGTCAATTCTTCTTGTACTAGTACTCGTTTTGTTATGTCAAGATACTGATGTGTAGTCTCATCAGTTTTATAAATCATGTTTGAGATTTGATTTCAAATTGCATAGAAAAGGATGTACATTATACTCATTATATTATGTGATTGTACTCATTTTTTTTTTCTAAGCATATTTGCCAAGTGTACCTAAATCTAAGAACACCCGGCTGTATGGTATACCAACTCCAATTTGTCTGCTTTAATGTACTATAATTTGGTGCTGATATAGAAGTAAGAACCATGTTTGAAAGTGCTTTAGATTTGTAGAGATGAAAAGATATACAGAGTAAATGAATTGCAAAACGATGACAATGACACCCCAAGTGTGATCTCAAACAATCAATTTTGTTTCCACCTTCACAAAGACACAAACAATGAACACTATCACAACTTATGGGTTTAGGCAAAGGTTGGGGCAAAGTTGGGAGTCACACTTGAGTGTCAAGTTTGAAAGAAGAAAATTACAAGAGAACAAAAAGCCTGGTATGATGGTGGCAATTGGTGGTGACAATAATAGTTGCTTAAAAAATTCAAAGAATAAATTATTTCAAAGAGGAAATCATTTCAGTATCATGAGCTGTTGAGCTAATCTCTTTTTGCTTTGGAGGCTAGTCTTACACTGACATTGTCTTCTGAAGCATGAAGCATCCCAAATACGGAGTAATAAAACCACAAAAAAATGAAAAAAAAAAAAACCAGGAGACATTTTACCTCATTCAAACTAGAACCTCTTGAGAAACAAGAGTGCTGGAACCTCATGGAAACTAAACCGTGTTTCAGGTCGAAGTAGATGCATTTGTGCTGACAAATTAATAACCAAATGCTAAATGAGACAAGGGTACAATAATGTCATTACATATTCCTCTCGCAGGGCGATAAAACAGATTCATTCAATAAACGATTAGATAGTACACACTACCCAGGAATGACTGACTACAAGAGGGAATTTAGTGTGCGAATAAGGAAGTTGGAAACTCATGAGCCATGAGCCTAAGATTTCATCTAGGTCCATACAGATTAGAGACATCGGCAATACTTCGGGAATATTTGTAATTCACACTACTACGAACGGCTGGCACCAGACCTATATTCCCCGATTCCAAGCAGATCCTACAAATGCACAATAGATGGAAATCTAAAAAACCAGGAATGCAAAAGACTGTGCAGTACAAACTGATGTTCACTTTAAATAGTGTCTTTATAATAAAAAGATTGAAGCTGGTCATATGTAGCATGCACAGGTCAACACAAAGACAAACGTGAGAAATACATACACCGCTATGTCAATTGTTGCTTAATTAGTATCTTACACTTAAACACATATCAATCCATTTTCAATTATTCTATATATGTAGTTTTTTCATGAATCACTAATCAGTAACCAGTATGCAAATGTGGAGTCAATGTCATGAAGTTTACAGTGATATAGTTACTATAGTCAAAATGTATTGGAGATAAACTAGGAAAAGAAAGAGCATACACAGGAAACAGATTCAAAAGATCTATTAGAGCCAGTGATTAGAGTAACAGGAGTATAAACAAAGAGTTTTTTATTTTTGAATACATAAACAAAGAGTTATTTCAACCTGGCAAGCTTTATTTTTAGCCCTGGTCTCTGCTGTACTTGGAATGTCATGATTTGGTTTCATAAACTTTTTTTCACGCCGCTCACATGAACCCCATCCATCTGAAAACCTACCTCCCCTGGGAATAAAAAGCATACAAATGATTTAGAGGAAGAAAATGAAATGGCAAACCTAATGCGCAAAAGTATGGAGTAGCAGACATAAAGCAAAAAAAAACACCTACTGCATGTACGCCCGAGCCACAAATTCTGCTCTCACAACATTGCGGTTTTCATCAAACTCAATGGTCTTGTCTTTGATTTCAAAAGACAGGTTGAAGTAAAAAGATATCTTCCTCCATCCTGGCAAATGTCATATTAATACCAACACGGGGTCATTGTTGAGGAGGGCAAGATTTTAGTCCCAACGATATATAGAGAACATCTCAAGGTTGAGGACCTGAAATTTTACCTGATTTTTTAATATAAGGGCTCCCAGAAATCATTGTGTAATCACTTCTCTCCAAAATCTGTTAAAAGTTCATTTCAGCAAGAGCTTTTGATTAAACTATGCTCATGTTCCTAAACACCAATGTTTTAATGTTTGGTACATGCATATAGATAACAAAGTTATAATTTTCCCAATATTCCAATGAAATAAATACGGACAATTACAAAAAATAATTATCAAAGGATTCAAAGCTCTATCAGTTATTTAGAACTTTCTTCTAACAGATACTTCATTTTGGGGAAGGAAGTAGTACATTTGATAAGTGAAACTACCAATTCCTTATCATTGCAAAGTTCACATGCCAAGATATGTTGAATTTCTCCACAAATATAAGATTGCACATCACGAATATTACTGCAATACTTGTAAATCCTTCAAAATTAAAGCATGATATAGGTCTAAATTGTCAAATACTAAAACACAGTTGAAGACAAACGACCTGATGAAGGAACATAGAACAAATGGATATTATTTTACCGCCATTGCTGCATTTTGGTAATCCTTGAACAGCTCCACCGTCGGAAACTGACCAAACAAGCTATGCCTTGAAAATCCTGCTCTCTCATCGCACCTTCCGTGGTTCATTGTCGTCACTGGAGAACACTCGGAACTACCGGGACTATTATTATAGTTACCGTATTCAGTAACGGAAGATCTCGTTTCCGGCGGCGAAGAATATACCGGTCTCGCCGCCGTGCGCTGCACGTGCTTTACCAATTCCAAAGGGGGCGCATCCTCCTGACTGCGATACGAGGAAGCCGGAGAGTTAATCGTAGCGAGTTTTTTTGAGCTTTTATTGAGGTCCTCGCCATCGGGGTGAGGATGCTTTCTAGGGTTTCTGGAAAGACTACATTGGGGAGAGGATATGGGGAAGGGGACAGTGGGGGAATGCTTGACATGCAGAGGTTTACAGTGTTTGACGGTGGAGACGGTGGTTGTCCTGGAGGCGTTGGAGGCGGCGGCGGCAGCGGAGTCGATCACCGCCCACAAGGCGGCGTCATCGAGGTCATTATCGTCAACGGCGTACGTAATTAAAGAGTTCATTTGACGGAAAGAGAGAGAATTGGGCGGCAATTGGCCGATTTGCTCATTGTCAAATTTTCAAATATAGACTTGCTTCGCCAAATTAATTTTACACTTTTTATTTGTAAACATCTAAAATGGATTTTAAACTTCTTATTTGGGGAAACATTTCTACCAAAATGCCATAAATATCCTTCTACTCTAACACCATGCAATTTCTAAATACTCCTGCCATCTCAAAAAGATAATCACAAATAAAAAATACAAAGATATAATAAATTTGTTTAGATATATTTGAAATAGCAAAAAAAATTAATAATGACTCAAAAGGTAGAAAAGAGTAAGATAATTGATTTAAAAAGTTAGGGATGAGTAGGTTTAAGAGAAGAGTGAGCATAAACGTAATTAAAAAGATAAACTGTATTTTGTTTAAAAATTGTAACATTAGTCTTTGAGCATCTGATTTAAAAAGTGGGACTTGAAATATGGAATGAAAGGAGTAATTTGTCCAAGTCCCTTGATGATCAACTCACTACAAATAGAGATCATTGTTTTGTAAATAAGTCCTATCAAATAAATTAATAAAAAGAGTGAAACACTGGGGGGGGGGGGGGG